CTTTGAATTTTTCAGGAAATTTTTGAAGTTTTTCTCCAATATGAGATTGCAATTGCAATTCTCCTTCTTTTATAAATAATCCTAAAAATTATATCTCTGTTCTTGCTATCTCAACTTTCTTTTGAGAAAGTGTAATACCATATTTTTTCATAATATAACAAAATTTCTCTAAATGTTCAATATGTTCATCAATGTTATTTGAATGAATAAGTAAATCATCTACATATGCAATACAGAAATGAGTAATTGGTTTAATTACCTCATCTATTCTTCTTTGAAATATCCGTGGTGCATTTTTCAACCCAAATGGCATTACATTCCATTCATATTGTCCTAAAGGATTGGGGGTACTAAATGCAGTTAGTGGTTTATTTTCTTCTGTAAGCATGATTTGCCAAAACCTTCACTTACAATCAAATTTTGAAAATATCTTTTTGTTCTGTACTTGTTTAATAAGGGTGTCCTTATTTGGCAAGTAGTATTCATCAAATTTGGTAACTTCATTTAATTTTTTGTAATTTATCACCATTCTGACTTTTCCTCTTTTTATTTCACTATATTTTATAACCATAAAGGTTGGGCTACTGTGTGAACTTTTACTAGGCCTAATTAATTTAGCTTCTAGCAATTCTTTTATTTGGTCTTTAAATTCTTTTTGGTCATCAACATTATATTTAATGGATTTGACTCTAACAATAGTGTCTGTATTGGTTAATTATATTTTTGCCTTTACTTTGTATGTATTCCATTTTTCTAATGGATTTTCAGAATATGTTTTAAAAATTTTTTTTTTCAATTGTTCTAACCTATTTTCTGTTATAATTTTTAGGACCGTAACTGGTTTAAATTTTTTTGTACTCCAACATCCACCATGCTGGATTGAGGAACTCCGATGGTTTATGTCTCTATATGCTATTGTAACAGCCTTGTTTATTTTTGGTGTAATTATTTTGTGTGCACAAGATGTTGTAAACATATACTTATTAATATATTATGTAAATGGTGCGTATTTTAATAAGAAATTTTGTCCTAATAAAATATTACATCCAATTGTGGTTGACATATATATTGTATCAACAAATACTTCTCTTAAGGAAATTAGAAAAGGTACTTGTGTAGCATATTTGCTGTATACTACCTTATTTCCACCTACCGTTGTAGCGGTGACTATCTTTTTTGTATTATATTTCCAATATTCAGATGGTAGTACATTTGGTAAGCATAAACTTATTGTACTTCCTGTATCTAAGTAAGTATGAAATTTAATTCTACAATAACTTTTTATATTGAGTGTAACTTCAATATATGGACTCATGTGATCAGTACTTATTACTCTTTCCATGATAACAATGATTTCATATTTTCATCTATTCTTGATATGATGATTGGGTTATCATCAATCGTTATTTTTAAATATCCTTGACAGATTTTATAAGGACTATATTTTTCAAAAAAGTTCATTCCTAATAGAATAGGTGAACAATCAACTCCATATAATTCATCTTTATATAGAATTATTTTTTTAGTACATTCTTTCTGATCTTCTCCTATAAGTATAAGAGGGAACTTTACACATTTTTTATCTCAATATTATTTCCTAGATAATCCTTAAATATATGTGGTTCTGGTATTTCAAAGTCTATTAAATGACTAACAAATTTAGAATTTACATGACTTTTATCTGCTCCAGTATCTATGAGGACAAGAAGATTCTTCTTATATCTTTCTTGATTTACATATCTTGTTTTGATATAATATTGCGAACTTGATGGTTCAGCAATGCTTAAATTCTTAAGTTTGCTTATCTTAAAGTCTTGTCTAGAGGGGAATCTTGCAATAAGATTATCTTCTTCTAAGCTGACACTATTTCTTCTTATTAGTTTTCCTTCAAAATTAATTTCTCTAGCTTGTTTGTGGAAATCAAGCATTATCTGTTCTGGTATAGTGACTTTATGTTCTTGGTATTTCCTAGGAGGTATATATTGTGCTAATTCCTCAAAATCTTTATATATGATAATGTTATCAGTTATTTTCCTTAGATTGTTATGATGGCTAGTACTAAAAGCAAAAATTGATTTTATGCTTATATTAATAGCCTTACTTCTTCGTAACATTTTCAAATTTCAAATTCTATAATATAGATTGAAACTTTGGTCATTATTTTCATCAGTTAGTGAAATTGCATAATTTGATTTTATTGTAAATATTATTTCTGATAGACTAAGTTTCCTACAACTGTTCCTAATAGAGTACCTATAGGATCTTGTAAAATTTTGTTGTCCATACAATATATTTCTATTGGTATGTTCATACCTTCTCTAAAGAATCCTTTTATCATTATCCGGACTCCTCCTTTTATCATTATGTTTTCTGGAATTTTGGATAACTTTTGTTTTACCCATTCTTTTGTGATTATAGGAATTCTTTCTTTTTCTTTAGTATCTTCTATGTTAATAGACATTTCTTTATAATTCATACTTACAATTATTTTATTTACTCTTAGTAATATTTCTAAGAATCCTTGATGGAATACATCTTTTTCTTGTAAGTCTAATATTTTTTTAGTGATTCCTGTGTATTTTTTAATATAAAAGATAATTTCTTGATTTATACCTTCTATAGAGTCTTCAACTTCTTCAGTTGTTTCTATTTCTATTTCTGATTGTTATATCTCCTGATTCATATATACTATCTCCTCATAATCTTCCTCTGATGAGGATGTATTTAATTCATAAATACTACTGCATTCACTATTTAGATCTTCAAAATATTCAATCGATTCTATATCACTATCATCTTGAAATTTTTCATAAATTTTAAGAGTTTTTATATCCTGTATATCTTTTTTTAGGACATTGAGGGGCAATGTGTCATTCTTCATTACAAATAAAACATCTATATTTTTAAATATTTCTTGGTTTAGGCTTTTTATTCCAATTTCTTTTCTTGAAATATTTTTTGTGTGGTTTAAAATTCATTTTCTTGAATTTTTTGTAATTTTTGAATTTTCTTTTATATTTCTTATATGGTTTATATTTCTTCTTATGACATCCAAATTGTTCAACTTGGCCTAGATCTTTGTAACAGCATAAGGAATTCTTTCTTATCTTATATGCTTTTTTAATTTCAAGAGTTTCTCTACACCGCATGCCTATCATTCTTTTTGTAAATTCAATCCTACTTACAAGACTATCTATTTTTACTCCTTCCTCTTCCCCTAGAGGTAATAATTTTTCATATTCTTTTAATAATTTAATTCCCCATGGGAATGGTAACTTAGTAAAATAAGACTTTAATATAGGTTTATTTTCTTGATAATCTCATTGGTTTAATATATATTATAATTTTTCAAATTTACATGTGTATCTTTCTCATTCACACATATCACATATCTTTAAATTTTTCATTGCAATCATTCCTTCATTATATTCATCTTGTTTTTTTTCTTCTTCATTAAAAGTGTATTTATCTCCTAAAAATTCTGTTTTTAAGATTTTTTCATACCTTTTTAATATCTCCTGTATATTTGGATCATTTAAAATATTTCTATTATCTAATACTTCAGTTCTATTATCTCCATACTTTAATCTTCCTTTTATAGATTCTGGTAACTTTCTCCACCATTCAGAAACAATTCCTCTGAATGTATGTTCTATAAATCCAAAACCTGTATATATTTCTCATTTATTAAATTGTATTGCTAAATCTGTACTTTTTATCCAAGTTTCTATAGCTTTAATTTTAACTATACGGTTTAGATCTAACCATACTCCTATTGTGTGGATTGGTTCATTATAGGATTTCATTGGATTTATTTCTTTTATGGATTTTTTTCTTATATTTCCAGTGTATCTTTTCTATGTTTTTCTAGATTGATTAATACCGTCCTTAAGTGGTATTGTAGTAACATAAGGATAATCATATTCTTCATCACTACTAAATTCTATTTTTATAATTTGACTTGATGATGAATTAGTATTCATCTTCTTATTTTCCATTTTTTCAGTTAATTCTTCTAATTGTCTTTTATATTCATCATATTCTTCACCAGTAGATTATAATAATTTTTGTTCTAATTCTTCTACATCTGTAATCATATATTGATTTTCTTCATGTTTTTTCCCTTTATTATTTTCTTTTTGAGTTATTCTAAAATCTTGAGGTGGATTAATTATAATCCAATATTTTCCTTTAAGGTTTTTATTTAATAGAGCATTTCCTACTTGTAGATTATGTTCTAAATTTTCTAATCTTTTATGTATATTCTCAAAACTTTCATTTGTAGTGTTTTTAGGTAAAGAGGGATAACTAGGTTTTTTATGTTTTTCAACTTTTTTCAAAAAAATTTCAATTATATTTTCTTCATCTATTATGTTCATCATAATTTTAGGTTCGTAACATGGCTCTGATACCATTTCATCGGAGTGTGCAGTGGAGAGGTTAAGATTTTTGAGCCAATTAAAATTTTCATAAATTTTTAAAATATCACAATAGAATTTATAAAATTCACTATCTTTCGTTAAGACATTTTCTTTAATAATTATATTTAATTTTTTAATTTTTCTTTCCAGGTAAAGAATTATTTTATGTATATCATTTTTGGTTTTGATTGCTCTTTTATCTATATAAACATTTTTATGTTTTAATTTTGGATCTAAATATTCGATAAAGGAATTTTTTAGATCTTCTTTTGAATAATTTAATTCATTATTTATTGCATTTCTTAGATCAATAAAATTTTGTATAATAGTTGGGTTTAAATTTATTAAAGATTTAATACATTATAGTGGCTTTGGTTGCAAATTCTCTATGAGGGGTAACTTTGGGAAAAAATATTTTTCAAAGGCTATTCTTCAAATGATTATATTTTTTGATCTAATCTTACAAACCACTCTTGTATTTAGGCTCTATGTAGGTATTTCCTCAATAGCATTATCTGAATCCAAAGTGGGTCCCATCTTAATTAACTAAAACACCAACTTCATGGAATTGATAATAAAACCAGTCCTTAAATGGCAGATTGTCTCACATCTTCACCGCTTGTCCGATTCCCTCGATGACTTACTTTTTCAAACTCTTTTATCTTTTTCACAAGCATTCCCTGCAAAAGAAAATAAAAGCCTAGGGTTTCTACTTTACACACATTATCCAATCGTCAATTTTCCTCGACATCTAGCTTAGAAATTAGCTCGGATTTTGGCGTTGTTGATCTCACTTTCTTTCCGTGTTACAATTTTGTATGCATAATTCTGGGTTTTTTAATGAGTCTTATCAGCTGTTTGAAGTTGGGATTTTGAAAGGAGATTCTTTTAGGGGAGATTATTGGGGTCAAAAAAGTTGAAAATGATGTTCTTTTATTTATGGAGTTTGCTTTTCTGGAAACGTACATGTGAAGCAATTTAGTGTTTTTTTTTCCCTTCAGTTATAATTGATGATTACCCTACTGTGGAATTCATTTCATCATTTGCTAGCTTTAGCTGAGTCGACACGGAGTTTCTGGATCTTTCCGCCCTTGTTACATGCCATTTGCTTGCCCGGAATCTGTGAATTCATTAACTGGGATTGTTACTCGTGGCTCTAGATAGTGGAAATTAAGTTAGATCAAAAGCTTTCTTTATAAATATGGAACTTAGTGATGCAGCTTTATGCTTTTGGAGATAATGGACTTATGCCATCTCTGGTTAGAGGTTACCAATAGCAGAATTTTGGGAATATTGATGAAAATTTGATTTTTTTTAATTTGCGGGATTTGGCCTATATGATCTGTTGTAGCTGATTAGTGATCAGGACTTTGAATGGTTAAAGTCATGGAGGATATTGGGTTGTTCAATCAAGGATGGAAATGGTTGCAATCAAAGGATTGTTACTGCGTAGCAAGTACTACTGCGAGCTGTTTGAGGGACAAGATGGGGATATTTATGGAGCGACATTGGCCCATGGTTTGCTGTGGCTGTGCAAGACTTGGGAGAGGTCTGCTGTTTTTGTTGGTTTACTGGAAGAATTGTTTTGTTACAGGCTTCCAGTCGTTTGTTGGGCTGGGTTCGGCGGCCCTGCTTGTCATTGTGTGGAGTTTCTTTCTCAGCTTAACATCAATGTCGTGTGTTCTATACGTGCTTCTTAGTATGGTATGCATTTGAGTCTTTCTGATTCTTGTCTTGGGAGCTTTTTTTCTAGCTTTGTTACTTATTTCCTTCCTCTGCTATTTTAAAACAGCAGGATCTGCTTTTGTATCATATGATGTTGCCTAGACTTGATTAGTCTTAATTTTTGTTCTCTGGTTCCAGCATTTGACAAAGTCCATGTGGCAACCGTTGTATCATAGTTTTTGGATCTAAGATGAAATTAATTGATGCGATACAGAGATAAAGATTCCAAGAAATGTTATCTGTGATATTATATCAATAATTAATTTGGTAGATATAATGAAGAAGTTCAAAAATAAGATCCTTTAGGTGCAATGATTATAAAAGGTAGTGATAATCTTTCCATATGTAAGAACTAGTGTTGGTTCAACTTAAAAATCAATGGAAGCTTTTTTATAATTTGTTTAATAAGTTGATATTTGGCATAGGAGAAAATTATGTAACAGAACCTTATATTGATTAAGGCACACAAGATCGTTTAACATTCATCAACATGTAAATGGCATGTACTGGTACTACTATATGTCTTCTACTTTAAGATACGGATAATGGGACCAATATGATCCTAGTGAGCTTTCCCAGATTAAATAGACAGAAACTAACTTGCGTATAAGTATCTCCTTGAACAAGGAAAACATTTTGCATACTTCACCATCGATTTCTCACCTTGTTGAAGTAATAACCTATAGCACTTAATTTAAGCTGTTTTACAAGACGCTGCTTTCATCAATTTGTTATCCTGTTCATTCTAGATACTGGATAATTTTTAATTTACCATTTTTTTTTAATCTAGAACATCCCCTATGACAAGCTCTAGATAGCCAATATACATGAATGTTATTTGCTGGAGAGTTACATCCTATATTTCTAATCATTTTCGAACAAACGGACGAGCCTGCTGAAGTTACTATGGACTTTCTCGTTTAACAGTTTGAGAATCATTCTCATAGTTCCATTTATGTTTCCAGGGAGCTGCAGGGGTTGTAGTTAAGTATTTAGGCTACAGTCCTGGACTTTTCATTGTGGGACTCTTTGCCATTCTAGTTTTATGGATGTATGCTAACTTCTGGATAATGGGTACATTATTCATACTTGGAGGTAAATTGTGGTTCTCTTCTTTTAAATTAATATGCTTGCACTTTTCGCATTTTTGTTTTACATAACGAACATTATCTTATCCAAAAGATTTCATCAATGCATGAAGGATGAAAAGATAAAAGTTTGGGATTTTGGGCGAATGTTGGAAGCATCCACATACTCATTTTCTTACTCCTATTTTATCTCATCGTACTTTAAGATTGAACTTAAGAGAACTTTGTGTCCTTTTTTGATTTATATTTTACAATATGGCTCTTGCAATCTATTCAGCTTGAATAAGTGTATTTTTTGAAATAATTATCCCCAGAGGTAAATCATGGAGTGATCTTCACGCCACCACGTGGTTGATAAACCTCTGATGATTTCCTTATTCTGCTATAGGCAAGCTATAGGCATTCTTTGGAAAGTTTGATTTAGGGCTTCTGAGAAACAAGTTTTGCTTAAACCCTGAATGTTTTTTCTTGCGTTTCATGTTCACACCATTGTCTTTCTGTAAACAGGTTACTTAATTTCCTTAAGTCATGCACAATTGGCGGTATTGATAGCAACCATATATGCATTATACTATGTCAAAGTTCAAGCTGGATGGCTTGGAGTTTTCCTCTCAATTAATCTTGCATTTGTGTCAAATGATGTCTTGAGCTGCTTGATCCAGTGGTATGATAATTTGAGTGAACGCACCACCTGTGAAGAGCATAAAGAATCTGAGCCATTCACAGAAAATTTGTCCACGGAGTATGAATATTCAACGAGTACTGATGAAGAAGATAAGTTGCACTCCTGTAAATCATCCAGCAAACCTGCTACTTCGTCTTTTGTTGAAAAACTTGAGGACTCTGCTGCTAAGCTAGTGGTCAAAGAAGAGGTGAATTCAGTTGGTGAGATGAAGCGGATTTTAAGCAGTGCTGATCACTATGAAGCATTGGGGTTTCCCCGTCACAAGAAAGTTGATTTTATGTTGCTGAAAAAGGAATACAGAAAAAAGGTAAGCTTAGTTTGACACTGCCAGAGTAACTGTTTATCTTGCCTTTACTTTCATATAGCGCACGTTGACCATCAAATTCCTCTAATTTTGATTCTGCTCACACTAACTAGTAATCTTGCCTTTGCTTGCATATGCTGCATGTTGGCCCCAAAAATTCTAGTTCCAAAATTGAGGGCTAAGATAGTAGTATTTGTTTTGATGCAGATAGGAAACTGCTAATTTTTACATCGACAAAGAAATGAAACGGTAAAATTTATAGAGAGACAAGTCCCAACTCATCTAATTTACAAAATGTTTAAAAATTGAGGTCATATAAGTCCATATTTAGCAAGTTAACCTATCTCCATTGGAAGTTTTGGTGCAAAGGTAAACAACCTTGTTTTAAGAAAATTATTACCTACCGTAATATTTCTCTTGTTCTCAATGTCTATAGAATAAAAAACTCTTAAAAAGTGAGTTTGTACGATAAACAAGATATAGGGTCAATTGAAATTGTTTTTGTTGCTTATTTAGTGAATTATAACTTGATCCATAAATCTGGAAGTGCATGAACTCTCAAATTAGGATTAGTTGTGACCAAGTTACTACATTCTAGCATGAAATTGCTGCCATCATCTAATTTAAACTTTATAGTCAAGCGTGCTTGTTTATTAAGGAAGCCAGAGTTTGTTTAGTTATGCTTACACAGGTTAGTATAGCTGTCTCTTGTAGCTCTGTCAGCATTTTGATTGGTTCAAAGTTATTATGCATTTAAGTAAGTTTGTGATAAAGCTCAATTGCTTACAGATTTTAAGGTGACTGAATTAGGGGAAGTTATATCTCCATTTTTTTATTTTTTATTTTTTTTCTGTGTGTACGTGCATCAGTGCACAAAATTTTTTCATCTAGCTTATATCTTAGTTTACTGAGGAACTAATTTTTTTTCCTTTTAGTGATATGATTTGTCTTGTAGGAGCTATAAATATTTTAATCATTTTTGCTGTGATGTTCATGAGTGGTTCAGAATATTACAAAGATTTTCATCTTTGGACCTACTTTTCTTTTCCTTCTATTGATTCGATATATTTGATTGATTGAGCATGTAATAAATCATTCAACCTAAATTCTAAGTTTTTCCTAATCCATATATACTTCTTCTTGGACCTATAAAGATTTCTATGGTGTGTATATGGTGAACTGGAAATAGTGTAGTCAAATTTCTAATGTTGAATACTTGAAGTTATTGTATGTGGTTCATTATTTTCGTGAGCTATGATGTGCTCTGTGGGGTCTTCTGTTTAGTAGACTTAGTTTTTTTAAATTTTAATTAGGCCATGCTTGTGCACCCTGACAAAAACATGGGAAGTCCACTGGCAAGTGAGTCCTTTAAGAAACTTCAATGCGCATACGAGGTATCTGTCAATATTCCAGTTTTTTAAATTTTGTAGCTATTTCTTAAATGTCTAAGATGGGAGCTGTGTCTCTGGTGTTCAATTTCCACTTACATAGGCATTAATGCCCAGGTACTTTCTGACACGGTGAAGAAAATGGACTATGATGAGAAACTCAAAGAGGAAGAATCTAAGAGTGTAATCCAGAAATCACCTAGCACTTCGTGTCAGGTAGAATTATATGGTTGGGCTATCTTAGCTCCAATTGTCTGTAAGTCCATGTTTTGCAATATTCTTACGAGGAATGAAGTTTTTAACTACTATTAATGTGAATCTAGATAACGTGTTTTGAAGCAACCAAATTTGATATTTCCTCATCAGATGTACTTTTTCTTGTGGAATTGCATAACAACTTGTAGTTAAGAGCATGGACGATCATCCTTGTCCTTATGATCTTATATTGCAATTGTTTCAAGCATATGTAAGATGTGCAACTTATATAAGACGAGAGTTAATAATTGTCTTGACTTGAAAGTAGGTTTTAAACACATTCAGCCTCTGTTTATCTCCCTTTAAAACAAAACTCTTTCATTCTCATACTCATTTTCAACCACACATTTACACAATAAAATATTTTGCACGTAAATCCAAAACTATTTCCTACTTTTTTAACCACATATTCTTCAAAACATCATTTTTTTCTTAATAATGGCCATCAAAGGGGCTTAGGTTTTTTAAAATGTAAAATCTGCTTGGTACATATAATGAATTACATCAACTTTGCTTCATGTATTCAAATATATAACGAGCTTAGAAGAATTGATGTCTGTAACTCCATGATGAGCAGGATACTACTGATTTTTTATCTGAGGAGTCGAGGTGCATAGAATGCACAAAGTGTGGCAATTCACATGTCTGGGTCTGCACCAACAGGAAAAAGGACAAAGCAAGATGGTGTCAGGTTAGGCTTGTTTCTTCGAAGAGGTAAAAATGTCTTAGCTTGTGTCGTCTGTGTATTTACTGATTGATGACATTTCTTGTGTAGGATTGCTGTCAATATCATCAAGCCAAAGATGGTGATGGATGGATTGAGTACCGAGGATCATTAGTGTTTGATCAACCTGAAAAGGTATACTTTATTCACAGAACTGGATGGTTTCATTGCTCAGAATGGTTTCATTGCTTTTGATGTGTTTGAAGTTGAAATAATTGTTTCAAATGCCGTGTTAATATTCGGATTTAATTACACTCAACATGTTAAATGTACTTAAAACTACTGCAGATTCATGAGCGTTGTTTGTGAGGAATTTATAGCACTATTAGGAGTCAGTTAGGAACTTTGTGGCTCGTGGACTTTGGAGCTATCTATTCCTATTGATCTTAAGTGAGCATGGTTCAGCATGCACTTTCTTACTTTATATTATACTCAATGACTTTGTTGTAAAGATTTAAAGAAGCGTGCTTTGAAATTACTTTTGATTACAAGCTGCTTCATAACACCAAAAATTCTATCCTACAACCTCGCGTTTCCATCAATTCTCTCTCTCATGCAGTGATATGTATTATTTTGTGATAAAGGTCGAGATGATATATAAAAAACCTACCAGTGAGGACATAAGATTTCTGCATAATTAGGCTGCCCTGTTGTGTCCCTTTACATTTTTTTTTTTTGGGCCAAAAAAGTACACTTTTCTAGTGTAGGAAGCCAATGTCATATCATGTATTATTCTCTAGTTCTTAACAATCTTCAGAGTTTTCGCATTTGAGTTAGGTTGCAAGACTGAAGTGTTTGGTTACATCTCCTTTACGATGTGACAAAAGTAGCTGAGTAGTTTGTAAGCAAGTGGAACTTCCTATTATGTTGTATTATGTTTGAATGCTGTTTTATAGATTTAAATAAGCCTTTGATGTTCAGATATTTTCTGTCTATTATTGTTTTAAGTGAATATCCACTTTTTCCTATCTTCTTCCTGCTAAAATTATGGTGTACCTTGCATTTAGGTGCCACGCGCTTTTGTCTGTGCAGAAAGCAAAATCTTTGATGTATCAGAATGGGCTATATGTCAGGTCAGCCTGCAACTTTTGCATATGTTTTCATGCCCTGGTATAATGCATTATAGAAGACATTATCTGCACCAGAAATTATCAGATTTGACTTCACTTTTCTCTTTTCTTTTTCTCATTGCATTGCCAACCTTGGCAATAAGAATGCTGTTACATCATGTTTGGTTGGCAGGCTTCAGTAATACTGGCCAGTATTAAGGAACAAAGAGAAAAGCTAAAATCTTGTTCATTACTGTCCAGAAGGCATGTCCCTTCTTGTACTGGGTTCCGATAAAATATTCTGAAAAGGTGTTAAGAGGCCTAATTGGGCAGTCATAAGCTTCCCTTCCAGTTGAGAAATATCTAGACATGTATCAATTAAAATAAGTTTTTAAAATCATAAGGAGACAAAATGGGTTGGAGAAACTTTATATTCAATTTTATTAATTATTAAAATAATCAAAGCCTCCTCACAAAAGGAAATATACTCTCCTTTTAAGGATATCATAAATCAACCCAAATGTTTAAACATGGTTAAAGTCATGAAGTCACGGATTTCCACATCTAGCAAGGCACGGCAATAAAAATTCACTTACTCACATAAATGATTTATTACTATCAATAAGAATCTCAAAGGTTTCACATAAAGATATGTAGAAAATGAAACAAGATAAATGGAATCATTCACACTAATTTCTTAATGCAAAGATGCTTCGGATTCTTTATGTTGAAACATGATGAAAAACTCTCAAAGGAAGACGTGAATACCCCATAGAAAAAGAAGTGTAAAAATTTTTATCCTTTGAAAATAGAGTATCAGTAACCTTCATCCATGGGTGTTATGATAGCATTATAGAGTATTATTACCCTATGGCAAAACCGCTATTATACTACCAACAAGCTAGAATTTTTCTTCCTAGTGGTTAACTCTTAATTTGCTATCTAAGCTCCAAGCATCAATATAACAGCCCTGTATTGAATTATAGAGCTCTAACCTCCAAGCTTGGCCATGAATTCTGTAAAATCTTCTCACCCTCTCAATCCAATGCTCTCGGCCTCGAGAAATTACTTTGATGCTTTAGAAAAAAAAAGTGCTTGAGAGAAACTACACAATGATGAAAATCTTGAAATGAATTCATGTCTATTTATAGTTATGGCTGGGCATTAAAATAGGGAAGTATATGCATACTTTTATTTAATGCAAATATAATAGAGGCTTGTTAAGGAAGATGAGTTGGTATAATAGAATATCTTATACACCATTTTATTTATTACATGTAGAAACAAAACCTAACTTAAATAAAATGAACATGTATCCAGAAATAATTCTAATCTTACTAAAATATTTGAACACATATACTAACTATAATTTAGGTGGCTGATTTTAACTTAAAAAAGTTTCATCGATTTCTTTGAAGCCCGACGTTTAACTTAAAAAACAATAATAAAAATGAAATTGCAAGTCCTATTTTATTACTCCAAACAATCCTATCTTTATTTCCCTGTAGACACCTGTGACCACTGATTTCCCCTTTTGTTGCAGTTATATTGCCCTTTTTTCTCATGCACATCAATTATGCTCGAGGAAATTAGAAAGCCATTGTTCCTAGCTAACTTTGAATCTACTTGGCTATATAGGACTTGGCTTGTAGGCCCAACACACACCGACCAAGTTTCCATGTTAACATGGTTGGATTGGAGAAGTCAACTTCGAGTATGTATCCATGGGATTTGGATGCTGAGATGATGGATGAAGAGGAAGAATTTGAACTGTGGCTTCAGCAAGCACTAGCATCCGGACTTTTCTGTGAAACCTCTAAGCGGAGGAAAAGCTGGAGCCCATTCAAGTTGCCTCTGAAGAAGGGAAAGAAACATTGGCGAAGATTTTCGTAGGAGAAACAGCTCCTCCGCCGCAGCCACTTCGATACTGTTTGAAGATTTCTGAGTGGACCACTTACCTTATGTTTGGTAAGGTGGATTGGACTGGACTCCATTAAAGATGAAAAAGTGTTCATTGCACTATCCATTTCTATCTAATAATGCATATCAAACATAGCCTTAAGGTGCCCAAGAATCTTGTCCAGCAGATGAGAATTTCAGGGTCGACTGGAAGACAGTGTAAACAACTTGTCTTACGTTCTGTAAATAAACTTGGAATCTTGCATGGTTTCCTCTGTTGCAGATCAGTTTTGGCCTAAATCTTTTGGGTTTCGAAGAGAATTGAAACTGGCGTTTGTGTACATTTGGTGATACATTGAAGCATTGTATTACCCGGGTGCAATAAAGTTGAAAAGAACGATGAAATTTTCCATCACTCATTGCTGTTGCTGTGGCGTTGTGTTACTCGTGTGAAGGATAAAATCATGCAGGTTCTGCTGTTGTCGAAGCTAGATAGCGTTATAGTCAACTCATCTGTAAACCTGTAATCCTGTAGCTAATCAATCTGCAGACCATAACTGAATTTAATGACTTCATATAAGAAGATTTACTTTGAAATTTGGAAAAAAAACTTGGGTCATATTTTTGTTTCTTAGATAGGCTTTCCTTTTTCGTTTACATGTAGTTATTGTTAGAGCTTTCTTTATCCTTGTTTTCCTTTGAATTTTCAAGTTTTCCATTCATTTCTATCGTTAGACCATCTGTAAAGCCGGGTTCACACTATATTAGTTGGCTCCTTTTAAATCCAAGATTTAGAACTTAGGTGTCAAATCTTTTGTAGCATTGCTTAGGTGCTTGTTTTAGACAATACAAGGAATTTTTTGACAGATAAAACAGTATTTTCAAGATCCCCATTTATAAAAGAAACATACTGTTTCATGTTAATAATTTCATTTAACTCACCATACAAAAAAGAAGTATTATCATCCAGTTGATCAAATTCCCATTTAAATTGAGCAACAAGAACAAGTAGGCATCTAATAATAGTATATTTCATAACGGGAGAAAAAATTTCAGTGTAATAAACGCCTTCCTTTTGCATGAAACTTTTTGCAACTAGTATTGTCTTATATCTAACATTTTTACTGTATCATTCTTCGTCTTTTGCAGTCAATTAACTTCTATCTTGTAGGCCTATTTACTAAATCTTAGGTTTTGTTTTTAGGAAGTATAGACATTTCATTTTTTATGACAACTATTCATTTTTTACCGTCTTTACGCTTAATGGCATCTTCACGAGAGTTAGGTTCATTTTCAAACTGTTCTTAATGAGTACATAAGGAAACAAAGTCATCAGAGCCAAATTTGGTGCAAGGTTTGATCTGCCTCCTCTCCCTCTCTTGTGAGTTAACACTCATCAAGGAAAGGAGCTACAGAATCAGATTGGTATGTCTGATCAATTTTTTGATTATTTTCAGTTTCATTTTAATCAAGACCACTTTCCTCTACAGTAGGCATATGAGTATTTTACTAATTATGAGAAGACTCCGCCTCAATTTGAACATCTTTTTCTGTTGAAACGTTTTCTTTTCTTTCTAAACATGACATTAAAGAATCATTAAAAATGACATCTATTCTAATAATGATCCTATAACTATTTTCATGTTGCACCCATAATCTGCAACCTTTAACATTTTATCATAACTTAAGGGAACACATTTAAGTGATCTAAACATTTAAGTGATTTAAGTTTTAATTTATCAATACTTTGAGGAGCACATGCAGCACAACCAAATACTTTCAAGTGAGAATAGTTTACGGAATTATTGGACTAGACAAATTTGTGAACAACAAAATTAATTTAGAGCACTAATAGGACTTCTATTAAGAAAATATGCAGCACTTTTGATGGCTATACTAGACATGTCAAAATGGGTGGGCTTGCTCAGTCCGACTAAGCCCACCCATGAATGGACCTGTCCAAGAATCGGCCCATAATCGAATTGGGCCGATTCATGAGTTGCCTACCAATAATATTGGGCCGGTCCAATTTTCGTACAAAAGCCCAGCTGTTAACCACTAGACCCATGTAAAAATAATATACAACATTAAAAAAAAGGGGGTTAAAGAAGAGAGAAATTTCTCTCCACATTGAAACTTCTCGCATTAAATGGCAATCAATGACAACTATTATTAAATGAGAATTGACAAGTCTAAAATGTAGACTTGTCAATCAAATGATTATTTATTTATTTATAATTAATGAGATTTGACAAATCAAGTAATTCATTTTTAATTGAAAAAAATCAATTAAAGTCGTGAACTTGTGATTTGCCTTCTTTCTTGCCATTTGTTAAATTATGACCATTGTTAAACGGTCAATTTTTGAATTTATATAAAAAGGTGTTGTCATTCATATTAAATATTATAATTAAGGTTCACTTTACTTTTCAATGCATTTTCTTGCCTTTTAGCTTCTCGTCTACATCATTATTTTCGAAAAATTTCAGAACTATATAATTTTCTATATTTTTAATATTCATTTTAGTTATTAATTTATTACATTCTTGATTTTTTAATTAATTATACATAGTCTATAAACATTTCTCTTTTCTTTTATCAATATTTTTAAGGGAAAATTACACAAAACCCTAGCATTAAAATCAAGAATTCTAAAATAGGGGGAAAGTTTAACATTTCAGAAATCAGAATTTTTTATTAATTATTTAAATAAACTAATTACAAAAAATAAAAAACCCTACCCAGAGACACAGACCCATCTCCTCTCTCTCCCTCTCTCGTCTCTATCTATCATCTCTACCGTTCGTCTCTTTACCACACACCGGAGCGGCTGTGGGAGTTGGGGGTGATGCGAGACTTCAATCTGTGCAAGGTGTAACGTACGAGCAACGTTAATCTGCGAGGTGGAGCAACGAGGTGCGTTAATCTAAGAGTTGTACGAGGTGCGGTGGCATGAGATTTCGATCCGTGCAGGGTATATAGATTTCAATGGCTGTGTTAATCTCGTCGCTCGACGTTGTTTACATAGCGACGATGGAGTTGTCTGTGAGATTTCAAGATCTGGAATGGCGCTGAGAGATCTCAATGTTGTATGAGGTGGAGCGACGAGCGGTATACAGATTCCGGTACCATTGGTGGTGTTTGTTGTGACATTTTATTTCTATTCATAAAAATTGGCAGATTAGCTATTGAAAACATGTGGCATTCTCATGCAATTCCTCATCTCCACAAAAACCAGCCATAATCTCCAAAATCGAGTTGTCTTCATTCCAAAATCTCTAGGTTTTGCCATTTTCAACAATTTCAGGCAATCTCTACGTCCGGCCATAATCTTTAAAATCGAGCTGCCAAATTCACTGGATTCCACTATTTTTCCCCCAATTTCGGGAAATTTGATATTCACAAGAATTTCACAATTTCTTCCTAATTCGTTGTTTTGATCTTGAGTTGGAATTGAAGTTCATACGCATATGTCAGTTATTATACTAGAACTTTGAATTTTACCTTTTTGCCATTAATTTCATATGAAACATTTTGTTGGTCTTTGAATTTTAATTTCTAGTTAGTTTTGGTTCAATATGGTGAACATTGGCTAATTTGACTTCAATGAATTGTCTGAATGTTCATATGATTCTGTGCAAAAGTATGTTTTCTGCTACCATAGTTTTTGTTAAAATTTTGCTATTATTGATTGTTTCCAATTAAGCCGTATTTTGTTAATTATGTATTAACAGTAATTATAGTGGCGGTAGTGTCGACGGTTGTAGCAATGGGCGGTGTCGCTGGTGGTTGTTGGTTGTGGTGGGATGGGGCTTGTGTGCTATTGGTTTTATAGTGGTGGTGATGTCAATACTGGCGACGGTGAGCAATGTCACTGGTCGTGGTTGGCGGTAGTTCGGTGCTTTGGAGTGTTGGGATGGGATGTGGGTGTTTGTGAAAATTTTATTGCTTAATTGAAAGTTGTGATCAATAAATTGAGTAATTTATGATCAATGTGATGATGGTTTTAGCGATGACAGTGGTGTTGTTGTTGGAGGCAATGTTGAAGTGGTGGTCGTAAGTATTGGTTGTGGTCACAGATTATTTGTTTGATTGTGACTAGTGAATTGATTAATCTGTGACCAATAAACAATAAAAAAGATAAAATGTAACCAAGAAATAAATTAATAATTTGTGATTGTTTAATAAGTTGTGACACACAATATTTGTGATCTGTGACCTATAAATTTTTTATTCGTGATCGAAAAATAATATGACCTATAAAATTTTTGATTTGTGATAAAAAAAAGTTGTGACTCTTTTGATAAGTTGTGACTAAAAATTAATATCTAACTAATTAATTTTTTGATTTGTGACTGATGAACAAACTGTGACCGTCTGAATTTTTAAATTGTGATCGTAAAATAATTTGTGACATAAAATTTCTGATTTGTGACAAAAATAATAAGTGACTAATTAAATTATTAATTTGTGACCAAATTGTATAGATATGTGACCTAAATATATTTAATTAAAAAATAAATAATTAATTTAATTAAAAAATTAATCGTGACCAATTAATCTAATAATTTGAAATGAATATATGAGTTGTGACCAATAAAAGTTTTGATTTTGTGACTAATGAATAATTTGTGACCTATAAAAAATTTTATGTGACCTATAAAATTTTTGATTTGTGATCGAAAAATAAATTGTGACTAATAAATTGATAAGTTGTGACTGGAAATTAATCCGTGACTAATTAATTTTTTGATTTGTGACAGATGAAAAAATTGTGACCTATAAAAAATTTTATTCGTGATCGAAAAATAATATGTGACCTATAAAATTTGTGTTTGTGACTTATAATTTATTGAGTTGTGATCGAAAAATTAATTTGTGACCTATAAAATTTTTGATCCGTGATCGGAAAATAATATGTGGCCTATAAAATTTGTGTTTGTGACTTATAATTTATTGTGTTGTGACTGAAAAATTAATTTGTGACCAATAAAATTTTTGATTCGTGATCGAAAAATAATATGTGACCTATAAAATTTGTGTTTGTGACTTATAATTTATTGAGTTGTGACTGAAAAATTAATCTGTGACCTAGAAAGTTTTTGATTCGTGATCGAAAAATAATATGTGACCTATAAAATTTGTGTTTGTGACCGAAAAATAAGTTGTGACCAATAATATGATAATTCGTGACTAAAAATTAATCCGTGACTAATTATTTTTGAATTTGTGACAATAAACAAACTGTGACTTACAAAATTTTTGAATTGTGATCGTAAAAAAATTTGTGACATAAAATTTTTGATTTGTGACCAAAAAATAATAAGTAACTAATTATATTGTTAATTTGTGACCAAATTGTATAGATCCGTGACCTAAATATATTTAATTAATAAAATAATTAATTAACTAATTAAATTATAAATAATTTTTAATAAAAATCTGATTTTAGAAATTTGAAACTTGTTTTCTTGTTTTTGAAATGTGCCATAATTAATTTCTTAGTTGTGAAATTTTCCCTATTTTTAAATTATGGAATAGTGGCTCTCCAATAAATTTGGAGGATGATGCTACAAATATTGGATCATCTAGATTGTAGAAAAAAAAAATAAACAAACATCATATGTTTGGGAA